CGCCAAAGGATTCTCTAAAGAGCAGGTGACGTTTCACTACGACAAGCACCATCAGGGGTACGTGACGAAGCTTAACGCAGCGGCACAGACAAATCCGTTGCTCGCGCAGAAGACCATCGAGGAAATTATCAAGACCGAAAAAGGCCCCGTTTTCAACCTTGCTGCACAGATCTTTAACCACACGTTTTACTGGGAGAGCATGTGCCCTAATGGCGGCGGCGAGCCGAAGGGCAAAGTGGCTGACGAGATCAACGCCTCCTTTGGCAGCTTCGCGAAGTTTAAGGAGGAGTTCTCAAATGTGGCTATTGGTCACTTTGGCTCTGGCTGGGCGTGGCTTGTGAAGGACACAGCCTCCGGCAAACTGAAGGTCTACCAGACGCACGACGCGGGTTGCCCACTGACGGAGCCCACCTTGAAGCCGCTCCTCGCGTGCGATGTGTGGGAGCATGCGTACTACCTTGACTACAAGAACGACCGTGCGGCGTACGTGCAGACCTTTTGGAACGTTGTCAACTGGAAGCACGTGGAAAAGTGCCTCTGGAGGAGTGAAGTTGTGTGTTTGCGCAGTGATTTGTAAGTGGCGTTATACGCTCGTTTCCTGTGTTGTTTCTTACGGGAAACGTATTGCATTTCAGTGACTGGAGAGAGGAGCAGATGGGATGCTCTCATTGTTGTGTCTGCAGCTTTTTGATTACATTTGCTTCCATCTTGAAGGGAGGAATGATCAAACGCAAAAATGGGAGGGGACTGATGCGGCGGTGTGTTGCACGTCATCTCTTTGCAACGTTTCCGTATCACTGGTAGGAGTAAGTGGTTGGTGTTTCATCTGCGCGTGGTGGTGTGTGTGTTTTTTTTTAAAAAAAAATATTTATCATCCCCCTAGACAAGTAAATGAATGTATTTATATATATTTCTATACGAGAATGTGGTAGTGATGGGGGGAACGTAATTCATTGGGGAAGGATGAAGAAAAAAAAAAAAAAGACTGAGGAAAAATATTGACGGCAGTAAAAACATTTTTTTTTTTTTCATCCACCGTCCTTTTTTCTCTTGTGTTGACTGTTCCTGCAATGCCACACTGGGTGTGCATGAAAGAAATTGGTTTGCATAACATTTGGAGGTGACGTGGTATTTGTGCGTGAAGCAACATCAGTGTCAATAATAGTTGATCCACACAACACCCATAAACACATACGCCTATCACGTGGGGCTAGGACATCTGAATACCTTTCTGTCTGTGCGTTTTTTTTTTTTTTTCAGGAAGCTTCTGGAGGCGTTAGGAGCAAAACGTCTACAAGGGGGGAAGACTGGTGCCACACCACAGCGGCCGTGTGAAGCGAGTGAGCAGCCCGCGTATACTGTCCATTGACATTGACCCCCGGCGGTTTACAGAACGTCCCACAGAAAGAGGGAGTGAGGAGGGAAGAAGGAACACTAAGGAAAAGGGTTTAAGTAGCACTGGAAGGGCTGAGGGGGAGAGGGAGAAAAAGTAGTTGCAGAAGGGGGAGGGGAGGGGGAGGAAAGGAATAGGGTAAAATAACGCACTAGATAGAAGCGAAACTGAGAAGGAAAAAAGGAGGAGACGGTGAAAAGGTCCCATACGAACACGTTCAAACGGAGCAAGCAAGCAAGCGCAACAATTTGTTCTCTGCGGCCTCCAAAGAATCTGCATGCACAGGCACCCACACCCACACGTAGACAGACATACGGACATAAATACATTCACACGTATTTCACCTGAGGGATTTTTATTCCTTTGAAACACGATTAATATCTGTGAGTTATGGGCAACGGCACCGCAAGGTTGAGGGAGGACTGGCGTAAAGACTTGGAAACGGGTACTTCAGAGTATGATTATATGAATTGCGGTTTGACACCATCAGTATTAGCTACGATAAAAGGTGACGAAGTTGATGAACAGCGCCCCATTCCCATTGGGGAGGGTGTGGCGAGCAAGTGTTCTTATCGTTCTGAGCCAGTTTTGCTAGATGAAGTATTGGGACCTGCCGACAGTGAGACAGCGCGATACAGAAAGAAGAAAACAATTGGGAGGGGGGCATTTGGCGAGGCGCATATTGTGGATCGCAACCCAGCCTACGCAATGCCACCACGAAAGCATGTAGTGAAAGCAGGAGACAATTTACAGGGAGAAAAACGAGCTGGTGATGATGTCCCTCGCTTCTTTGTGGCCAAAGTGACACATTTGACCTGTATGTCGCCGAGTGACAGACATTATGCTCAGACTGAAATTATGTGCCTCGCTTGTAATTATCATTTTGGAATTATACAGTACTTTGAGCACTTTTTTATAGACAACGAGGATGAGACAATTATCATCATAACTGAGTTTGCAGATGGAGGGGATCTGTACCACATGCTCTATAGGGAGCAGACGAAGTTTTGTCTCCCAGAGACTGAGGCCGGAATTTACTTTGTGCAGCTGCTACTTGGTCTTGACCATATTCATCGCCGTCGGATGATTCATCGTGACGTAAAAGCGGCAAATATTTTTTTAACCACGCGTGGGTTTTTGAAACTCGGTGACTTTGGCTTTTCAAGGCAGTACGACTGCACCGTTTCAAACCCAATAGCCTGCACCTTTCTTGGTACGAGCTACTACCTCGCCCCAGAAATGTGGCGAGGACAGCGTTACGGCAAGAAGGCAGATATCTGGGCGGCTGGAATAGTTCTGTGTGAACTGTTGGGGAAGCGGCGACCATTTGAGGCGGACTCTATTTTAAAAATGAAGGAGCTTGTTCTCTCTGGTGCAATGTGGCTGCCCCCCATTCTTCCCGATAACACCGGCACCTCACCAGGGGAGCGTGAGGAGCAAAAGGATATGGGCTACGTATCCAGAGAGATGCGGGAATTTATGGAGTTTATTCTGCAGGAGGATCCGGACAAACGGCCAAGCGCCTCCCAACTCCTTAAAACGCCATTGATGCAGCACTACCTCTGTTTATTTAAGAAACGTGTGGATCGCATGATTGCCCTGGATGCCGAAATGGAGGATAGATATAAGGCGGATCCTTCAGAGTTTGCGGATTCCTTGCCCACGTATCATTTTTCACTGGAGGAACAGGCATTGGTGCTGAGCGGAATAGCAGAAGGCGAGGAGGTGATTCACCTGGAGAGGGAGCGGGAGATAGCAACAAGCACCACTCCCCGCTTTGAGAGCATGGTCTATAAGGAGACAGCTGGTGGTCAGTGGAAGGAACGCTACCTTATTCTCGCCGATGGGTTTCTGACAGTGACACTTGCAAAGGGAAAGATGGCGGCGGGCTCGGGTGAACGCAGTAGGAAGGTCCCGCTTCAATCAATCAACGCCGTTGCGCCAGTTGTTTTTGACCTTCCAGTCACAGCTGAAACGAGTGGAGAAACCGGTTCTTTTCAGGCACAGTTTGCCTTCGCAATATCTACACAAAATTCACAGTCCATTGTATTCGCTACCCGGACTGAGCAGGAACGTGACCAGTGGTTGTCTGCGCTAATTGCAGCCCTGAAAATGGATTAGTCAACAAGGTTTTTTTTTGTTTTCCTCTTTCCGTTTGGTGTTTTTACGTTCTTATTTTCCGCTCTGCTCCAAAATTTGCGTCTGTAGTTCGTTTGCTTGTTTTACTTTTCCTTTTGTTTTTGTTGTTTTCTTGTGCGTGGCGGGTCGAGCATACTACCTTGCCTTTTTCTTTCCAGCAGGAAACGTCCATTTTTTTTTTTTTGCATTGTAACTTTTTTTGTCCCATTTTTGGTTTGCATTGCTTTTTGTGCTGCGTTGTTGCGCCTTCGGTGCTGAAACAACTTTGTTTGAAGTAATTAGGTGCATGCTGTGTCTGGTGCCTCTTTTTTTGGGGGAGGTGTACGAGGAGTTTCTTCACCTTATTGATGGTTCTTGGTGTCACAGGGTGCGAAGCAAGAAAAGAAGGACGAGAGGGGGAAACAGGAACAATTATAATGTTCAATATTGCTATATTCAGTTATCATATCATGGGTCAAGCGAGGCGTGCAGGGTAGTTAAAACTATCAAGAAACAATGCGGCTCTCTGCCTCCGCGTTTTTTTTTATTTTTCGAAAGCTACAATCTTTTTCATTTCAGGCTAGGTGCTACTGGTGTAACTGCGGTCGATCTTCTTTCTCTCTCTCTCTCTGTGTGCAGGATGCAGCTGTCCTTGAAGGCGCTTTCTTCCTCTTTCTCTTCTTTTCGAATGTGTTTGCATGTCTTTGGTTCTTACTTTTTTTTTTGCTTGTCAGCAGACGGTTTGTGTGCATGTTGTGTGCCCGCCGGCATCCGTCACTGCGAGCGCCGGCATCTTCGAGTAGTGACGGTTTTGCGGTGTGAAGCAACCGCGTCTTGGACGGCGCCCCAAACAGAGAAGGGTGGCGGTCAAACGCAGGGCCTACACAAATAACGGTGACGGGAAATGTAAATGAGATGGCATTTCGCGGTGTTTGTGCTTGCCGCACAGTTGGGGCACCTTTCGGCGTGGTGCTTGTTTGTATTTTTCACGGTGTTAAATGGCCAGGCCTCACCCAGAGCGATGGGTCCCGTCTCCGCAGTGGCATGAGGGCGTTTGGTTCAGCTGGGCACGTTGGCTCTTCGTTGCGGAGGTGTGTTTTTGTGAGCGTCCCGCGGGTTGGCTTCACTGAGCGGAGGTTTGTGTTTGCGCCCCCGCACTTGGGCGAGGTGGCAGACTTTTTTTTTCTTGCACCAGTGGAGGCGCAGGCAATGGGAAGCATGGGGGGCAACCACATGCCTCGGTTTGAGGGAAAACTCTGCAGCTCCGCAGAGGGCACGCCACGGCCATGTCGAGTTCCCTCCCACTGTGCAGCAGCTGTGCTTTAGTGCGGGGCGCCCAGCGCTGGGCACAGAGGCCGGGGCTTCAGTCGACAGGAGGGGGAAGCTGAATGGGGCGATGAGTGCAGAGAAGCGGCATCCTGCCCTAGCAGCAGCAACTCCAACGCCGTGTGGGTGTGGGACGAGGTGAGGTTTCTTTGCATGCAGAGAGGAGTAGTGTTTTATGTGTGACGCATGAGGGGCGTGATGCGAGGAGGTGACTTCGCCGCTTGATGTTTCCACCGCGGAGGTGCGGGCCCTTGTGCTGTCAGGTGTGTCTGACAAGTCTCCGACCACAGAAATTAAAGTGGTGAGAGAAGGACAAAACAGTTGACAATGGAGAACGAGGCGAGAGAGAAGTGATGCGTGCCAACTCGTTACAAGGGGACCACTGAGGGCGAAATGACGTGCTTGTGACAGGAAGGCGATCTGATGCATTTAACTTTTTTAAAAATTATTGTTTCTTTTTTTTTTTTCGCTTCTTCCGTCGTGCCAAACCGCATGTTTTTTGTCACAGTGGAGGGGTGCGGAGAGGCAAGCAATTGGGCTAAGCGAGCAGGGGAAACACCTGGGCAGCAGATAGAAGGTTATTGGGTTTGTGCTCCCGTATGAGTCGGAGCGGCGCGAAGAGTGCTGGATCCTCGCGGGGGGCGACGGCAGTGTATCAGCGTGGAATGGACGAAGAAGGCCTGTGGGATGATGCCGAACTCATCCGCTTGTGGAACATGCAATTGGAACAGCAGAAGGAAGAGGAGGAAGAAGCCGCCCCGCAGCTTGCTGGACTCCACTCTGCTTCATCTGACGAGGATAGCGTGATCACCTCTTCCGCTGACGAAGAGTCTGCAGAGATGTCCTCCTCGTCATCATCTGTGTCTGTCATATCAAAAAATGTAGACTCTGCCGCCGATGATACAGTCGCAGTCACATTAAATTCTGTGCCGCTTCTGCAGGATGGGGTGAAGGGTTTGCCGGCTGACATTCAACGTGTGGTATCTGCGTACTATCGCGCGGGCTATGAGGCCGGGTATTTTGTTGGTCGGAGTGAGAAAGCAGCAAGGGAAGTAAATCATAACAAGAGGAGACGTACCAACTAGTGAGAGGCGTGCGTGGCTGTGGAATGGAAGATGGGAGGGTTCAAGTTTTAGTTTTGGTTCATTTTCTTTATCACGCTAAAACAGAGCCTCCACTTGTTGTTGATGGCTCCACCCCCTCCCTGCGGGGGATGCATGGCTGGGCACCCCCTGCCGCGTCTTGTGGATGTCGTGATGCACCGCCACTCTGTGCGTGTGTGTACCGCGTCTCTCACAGGATGTATTTTTTTTCTTTTGTTTAACAACCTCACCACTGCACCACAAAATACTCCGCGTATCACCGTCGTTGCTGTTCTTGTCACTCACTGCACTTGCAATTTTGCTGTTGTTGTTTTGTTTATGTGGGGCGTTCAGGTTTCATTTTTTTGCTCTTCCCCGCGTCGCTGGTTGCTGTGCGTGTGTGATTGTGGGGGTTTTGTTCTTAACTAGAAGGGGACAAGTGGCGCGCGGCTCTCCACCACGGCGTGTCCGCCATTAAGTCGACGTAGCTGCACACAGACAGTTTAGCGCCCGAAGTCATGCGGGGTAATCGCCTGGCGCGGTCTGGGGACCCAATGAAGACCCGCTCACAGCGTCGAAAGGAACGCCGAGAGAGGATTAGTAGGACAAACCGTGCACAGCGAGAGAGGCGGCGCATCGGACGCTTCGTCGCGCGGAAGTGCGTGAGGGAGGAGGACCAACACATGACAGCCATTATGGAGTCGTACGCTAAGCGCCGCAAGGCAGAGCGGGACGCTGAACGAGCGGCGCAGCAGCAACAAGAGCAAGAGGAGATGGAGGAGGGGGGAAAAGAAGGGGTAGTGCATCATGGTGGGCAGAAGGTGGGGCAGCTTTCGCGAGTGACGGCGAAGCAATCGTTACAGTGTCATCCAGCGCGAGGCGCGCCTTCCAATGACAGGAAGCTGGTAAGACGCGGGCAACCGAAGGTGATGACACGCTCGCTGTACTAAGCGTTCTCCTTCTTGCTGGAGACCCCTAAGTCCCTCGTAATGGGAGCCGAGAACTTAAAACATATATACACCGTTATAATGATAGTAGCACTACTATTATTATTACTATTGTGTACGTGCGATTAAAGGAGTATGTCAGAGCTACTCCAGTGTGTTTTTGGTGTTTGTCCCACGCTAGGATGTTTTTCTGCATTTTCTTTTTGGCTTTAATTTATTTCCGCTGCCTTGTATAAGGATCCTAAGGGCTAGGAATTGCCACATTTACCTCCTCTCTCTCTCTTTCTTTCTTTGTGGAACTGTAAATAGATGACAGTTATGGTGGCGAACGGCAGCGGTGATACATACCATGGGCTTCGCGTTTATCCCTTGCGTGATGTGCTCTCACGTGTGCCTCTGCCTTCTCATTGCCCGCTGTCGGGTGTGTCACATAAGTGGCGCTGTGTGATTGTTCCAAAAATACTGGAGCCTACCTCGCAGGACGCGGCTGAACATGAGGTGATGCGATTCCTTGACAACAGTATACCCTGCCGCCTTGGTCGCTGGCGCAGTGCCCCCGTGTACGACATTGTTGGCAAGGATGGCATGAAGTTTGTAACAGATCCGCGCTGGAACAGGTTTCCCAAGCCAAAGATAGCGTTCAAGACGGGCTGGGCCGGTCCAGGCACTCATATGGAGTCGCCCGCGTACCACCAGCTCGTTTCCTCCTTTGCTGATGTATTCGACCACAAGGAGGAGGGATCGCCGTGCCGCAGTTGTGATTCTGAACTTGAGGTGGATGGAAATGAAGTGGAGGAAGCTTTGGACGATGTGGCGCCAGCAAACACGTTAAACTTGCAACTGTTTCATCGTCAAGACGCTTCCATTTGCCCACCAATTCCCGTGCTAGGGGAAAAATTGATTTGGCCCTCGTTTTTGGAGGATGGCGCCATATGCGATAATGCAACACGTCTGGCGCAGCGTGGGGCGGTGACGTGGTGGCACCTCGACGACTCTGGGGAATTTGTTGAACAAACTGCACTACCTCTGCTTCCCTCAGAGCAAACTGTGACTTCTCCACCCTTATCAGGTTTGCCCCATACTCAACGAGCGTACTTTAAAGGCATTGAGAGGGAACTGCTCTGTGCAGAGGAGACACCAGGGTGCGTTCCAGTGAAACTTTTTCTCTACGGACCTAAGGAAAGCTACGATTGGTTCATGCACGACGATGAGTCAGCGACTTCTGGGAAGGTGGCGGCGTTGGACATATTTTCTACGCCTGATGAGGCACTTCCAAAGGATGCGACGCTTTTGCCTATTATTCACGTGGCTGTGCTGGAAAGTGGCGGTCGTCCGCTCATCTCTCCTCCGAACATCCCGCACCTTGTGATAAGCCTCAATGACTGTATTATGGTTGAGCAGCGCCGCGTGGCGTACCTGTTTCTGGATGAAATTTCCTACTTTTTACAGAAGTGCGCCTTCTGGAGCGGAAACCCAATTATATACGACCACATTGAGAACGATCTACAAGATGAGGCGTACGTTGCAGGCCAACTTATCCCCAGTATGATAAGCCTCTTTCAAGAGTATGATGCGTTTCATCCGTACGACGAAATAGTTCGACGCCGCGTCGTTATATCACTCCACACCATTGCCACTCACGAGAAGCATTACAAGCTTTCACCGGACTCCAGAGACTCACTCGCGTCATTGCTGCATGGTGGCAACGCCGAGATGAGTGCTATTTTGCAGCAAGAGACCCCGTATGGATTGCGTGTTGTTTCTCTTGAGGACCGCCTGAAAAGCTTCTGGGATGTGCGGCAGTATTGGCCGAAGCCAGGGTGTGTGTTAAAGGCCCCGCTGGTAACACCACCGCATTTGCTCTCAAAGCATCTTGTGGCGAAGGGCCACGAGGTTGATTGGTTTGTTCCCGTTGTCTACACTGCTTCCTCGCCCGTGTTTGGATCGGAGAAGAATGCGGTGGAGGAGGTCGCAACTGAGTACTTCTCCATGGCAAACCTTGCAGGAAGGCGCAGAGATTTGCTCGCTTTTCTCCGGACACATGGAAAGGAGAAGGATGAGTTGCTGGACGAGTTGTTTTGACGATGCTGGATTCCTCTTTGTTCACCTCTTGATGTTTTCTGTGGACTTTTTGCTTTGTTTTTGTTCTAGCTGTGTGGCTGCGTACGTGCTGCATCTCCCTTCGTGTGTTCCCTTCTCCTCGTTATGTGTGTGTCGGTTGATTTTCCCCACATGGTGCAACTAAACAAAACCTCGATTAAAGGATGGTACGCCTCTCCCGAAGGTAAACAGCCTAAGAAGGAACCGAAGGTAAGAAAGAAAGAAAGGGTGTTAACAGCGACATGGCGCGTGTATGTGCGTGCCAGGTGCATCACCTGCACCGTTTGAGGGTGTGTGTGTATTTTTTTATTTATTTTTGTGTGTGTGTATGTTTATTGGGACGGTGTTGGAAGCACTTGCATCTTTTTTCCTCCACCTTGTCACTACGATGCAGCTTATGTCATTGCCTCACACGCACACTCAAAGGAAAAAGCGCTGACGATTCTGCAGATAAAGTCTTGGTTACCCATGCAAGAGCTCTCGACTGTTTCGTCTCCTGTGGCTTTCCCCCACAAAGCTCCGAGTTTGGACCTCACTTTTGACTTCACCACGTCAGAGGAAGTCGCTCCTCTCCCTGTGCATGAGGTGGAGCTGCAACGGGCGCGTCGTCGTCGTCATGACAATGTGCCAAACGATGTTTACCTGCAGGAGTTTGTGGGGATGTCGAATATTGTGCGGGAGGACACGCTTGACCCTGTCTGGCAAACGAGTTGCTTGGACTTTACCGACTCACTGCGGGAATACTACGGCGACTCGGAGGACGCGGCATACCGAGCCTTCCGGGAGAATATGGTGCCATTCTTAAAGTGTAATGAGTGGCTAAAACGCAATCGTTTTGCTGAAGAAAGCGTCTACGAGGACTACAAGCTGCTTAGACAATTTGAAGACGACGCGCTCCGCAGTTGCGACTCCGACGACGAAGACACCATCGTGGAGGCAGAGGTAGAGGCGCAATCGGAGGCACACCAGGCGTCTCTGCAGAAACACCGACATGACTACTGTTCGCAGCAACTAGGGCGGCGTCTCTTGGAGCGCCGCCAAAGCTCCGTTGGCACATCGTTGACTGCGGGAGCGGTCATTGAGAAGGAAGATGCACCAGCGGACGTCCCATTGCAGCGGCAGTGGAAGGGAAAATCGTATAGGGAAAGTTTTATGGGTGTGCGTGATGGAAGGTAAAAGCGTCATGAATAAGATTGAGGAACCAGTGTTTTTTTTCTGTATATTATTATTATTATTGAGTTTATTCTTTTGCTTCCAGTTTGGGACCTTCCCTGTTGTGATGGGGCGACGTGCTCTTTGAAGCATTTACAGGGGAGGGATGGAGGGGGGGCTGCCGATGCATTTTTTTTTTGCTTTACCTTTTGCGTACACCCAAAATGATGAAGGCATCACTTTCGCTTTCTGTCTTCCCGTAACGACTGGTCTAGTCTTACCCATATGCTCTTGTATGTCTAGGTGTGTCTCTATGTAGTTATATGTTTAATACCAGTCCATCTACCTATAGAGCTGCATCTCAAATTGCGGTAGTAGATGTCTACACCTTTGAATCCAAAGGCGGTCCTCTGCCTTCACATCATTTACTTTTTTTTCTGTGTCTCCTGCCGTTTCCACCTGCATAGTAGCAGTAAAGGACGTTGTAGCCATCATAGTCGCTCTTATCCCCTTTTTGTTGCTTTTGCTCGGGTGCTTGCCTGCTTCTGCGTGCGCGCTTGTCGCTACCTCGCTGTGTGGCGGGTGCTGAACCGTCGAAAGAATGCGCCGCGTTACTAGTGGCAATGTCGTGTACCGCAGATACAGCGCGGCGGCGGCGGCGGTTTTTCTGCGTGGGTATCACATGCCCGGGTGGAAGACAAGTGTAAGCACCAAGGATGCGCGGACGCGGGAGCAGCGGGAGGCGGATCGAAAGACGCGGCAGATTGAAAAACTCCCACGGCCGCAGGCGCTGCATGACTTCCAGTATCCTTACGAAAAGACTATTCTGAGCGACTCGATGTTTCAGTACCCTGTGTACGAGAACGAGCTGGACACCCCGCACCTCTTCAACATTGTCCCACCCCCAGATTTCTTTATTTACTGGAATGTGGCCGATTTTGAGCGGACGTCGTACCCACCGCTTCCGGAGGAAGACCATCGAGTGCTGCTCCCACGCGCGGACTCGTCGGCGTGGAAGACTCATCGTCAGCGCTCACTAAGGTATCTCCGCAAACACGAGATTTTGCCACACTATCTACCACACGTGCGGCAAGACGTGAATCTATCGGTTGTATTTCCAGGGATGTACGCCACACGGGCTCGCCGGTGCGAAGAGACGGGCGAGGCGCTGCCGCCACCTCCACCTGTTACCGAATTGACTCATCGCAATTTTTGGATGACCGCCCACTGTGGGAATTACATAGAGCTTACCGACCTACAACATCCGCCTTCTATTTTTTTCTTTGAGGAAGACGAGGGTGAGGCAAAGGAGGCTGCCACTAGTGTTGAATTCTATACACTTGTGATAGCTTCCCCGGACTTTCCGTATCGCGTTCCCGCCGAGGTTGATGGGAGAAGGGAAAAAGGCTTCTTTCTTAATTACATGGTGGTCAATCTTCCAGGTGGTGGCAATGCCCCACATGCACCCGTGGCAAGTGGGATTGTGGTGAATACACGAGGCGCTGATAAAAAGGGCGATGTTGCCTTGCCATACGTCCCTCCACTGCCAACGGAGGATGCAGGGACCACTAGGCATCTATGCATGCTCTTCAAACAATCTGGTTACGCGAGTGACATAACGACTATAACGGATGACACGGAGGAGAGCTTTGCAGCTCGTAGTGATTTCCGTCTCCATGCGCCTCATCGAGAAGGGTTTTCAGTATCGTCTGTAGCAACTCTTCGTGAGGTGGATGCGGTGCTTCCCTCTGACCCATGTGCTGTCACTTTTTTTCAAACAAAGTGGGACATTCAAGTGCAGGAGTTTTACGAGGCGCGCGGAATTCCTGAACCGGCTGCTCCACCTGATGAGGAGATAGATGCCATACTTGCGTATCATGCAAAGAAGCCGTCTGAACTGCGCGTTCGTGCCCGACATCGTCCGGACGGCGCCACAAATATGGGGGATGATCCCAATTTCTGGGGACAGTCCGAGCCAACCATGATGGCATCTGGTTCCATGCAATCTCTTTGGTCTAGGCGAACCGCAATCGGGAAAAACGGTGTACCTGTAACATACCGGCGCTGAGAAGTATGCGCCGTGCGTTGTTCTTTTTTTTTTTATATATCTTTTGTTTTTCTTTTCGTTGCTGTAATTCCAACTTGAGGGAAACATTGATTAAAACAACAACAAAAAAAAACGAAAGGAAGAAAGGTATGTGCGTACGGGTTTCTGGCTCCTTACATGTGCGTCTGCTTGCCTGATGCTCACGGTTGAAGAGGGAATAGAGAACGGGGGAAAAAATATTTACATGGACTACGTGTTTGATTCATCTTTTTTGTTGTTGTTGTTGTTGTGGCTGCTGCTTCTTGCAAATACCGGAAGCTTCCTATTGGAGCATAAAGGAAACATTGGCTGTAACGCATTTTGCTGTTTCTGTTTGAGCTGCCACCCTTGGCTGCTAGTTTTCACCTTTATTCCCTTATGTATCGGTTTCTGTGATTCTTGCTTTTTCTCTCGTTCTCTCTATTTGTGAGTATGTGTGTGTGCGTGAGAGTCTCATTTGTGTGAGAAGTAATTCTGAAGCCACTCACAAGGAGGATTCAAACCATCGTTTTCCATGCTACGGTCACTTAGTAACCTCAGCGAAGAGAGGCCAGACGTGGCGCGGGGCAATTTCAAATGCCCCATGTTGAATCTGCCCTCGTGGGATCAACCAGCCCTTATCAACTGGGAGCCGCTTGAACCCCCAAGCCCGTTCCTCCCCGTCGTGCAAAGGCGCGCCTACCCCTCTGTTGTTAGTGGCATGTTGAGGGCCGCCGTGTCACCAAGGGCTCCCGAAAGGGAGGCAACCGCAGATTCTCCTGGGGCAGCAGAGGCGGAAACACCACGCGAAGTTACATTTGAGGAGGAGGAGATGGCGCAGCGTTGTCTGTTCAATGAAGAAACTTCGGCGAGACAGTGCATTGTTTTTGCAGAGCAGTTTGAGTCGACCCGGTTGTGGGTGGAGGTGCTTCACTGCATCAGCGTCATCCTTGAAGTTGATATTCTGTCCGCGGAGGAGGAGGCGCGAAGTACGTACGAACGCGAGGAAGACAGGCTGCGAATGTGCTACATAATTGAAATGAAAACGGTTGGCAATCGTATTCAAAAGCGTCAGGAGGATGAAATGCGAAGAAAATTTACCCAATTGATACCATTACACAAGGAGGGGTTCACCAGCATTCTGCAGGAGGAGGCCGGTGAGCTAGCGCAACTCTTGGATTGGTTCAGGACGAACCGCCCGTTTGGAATGCGCCTACCCACCTTCCTGAGTGGTGAGCCGCGTCGGATGCAGCCAAGGAAACCCACGGGAGGACGCAACGTGACTTATCGGGGACGTGGATCCAGAACTTTTGTGCCTAAAGTCCAGGCGACAGCTCGCTCCGAACTGGACTCGTGGCCCGATGTTTTTCCGGAACCCTCCTACCTGGAGGAGGGGAGGATGGTATGGGCACTAGTCAAAAGCTTGAGGTACGGGCAACGCAAAAGTTGTACTTCAAAAAATGAAGTTGAGGAACAGGAGGCGGCTGCACGTGAGGAAATTCTTGCGGAGGAGGCGGGTAAATGGCTTCCTATGATCGCCCTTGCCGTGGATGAGTGCCATGAGGCAAAACGGCGGACTCAGGAACGAGATAAGGCTGAAACGATAGCTATTGGAGAGAGGTTAGAGGAACTGCAGAAGCGTACTGCCTTATTGGAGAAGTTGGAAGAAGAGGATGCTATAGGATGGGAAAAAGCTGCAATAAAGCAACTTCAGGAGAGGGAAGCCATGTTTCGGAAACAGTTGGACGAGGAAGACAGCTTTTTGACCAAGAGGGAAACGGGTGCGCAGCAGCTAGATGGTTCTACAGGTGGCGGTTGTGTTGAGCATGACCGGGACGGGGAGCCGCGCCTGAACATTGGGGCGTGTGCTGAGGTAAGCAGCTCTTCGGAAAGCGGCTCCAACGACCTGCCACTGTACCCAATGCTAAACGTTGTACTTAGTGCTGCGCTTGAGCGTGATTCGTACGCAGGGCTTCATAATCCTGGCTTTTCTGCTCTTGCTGAAGCGGAGTGTTTGTTGGCAGTCTGCGAGGGGCGCAGTGCAGGCAGAGCCGCTCAGGCCTTTGCCTCTGCTAGTCGAATGCCGTTTTGTCGGATGTACCTCATGCAAGGTCTTTGGTGGCCTAACACCTCAACTGGCAAGGCTAAGTGCCCCGGTGAGGTGCGTGTTGCTGGCGACGGCGCTCCATACCTGTATGAATTGGCGAAGCTTGAAGCAGTATCCAGGTCTGTGTTTTTGCAGGATCAGATTGCCGCAGCCTTGGACTTATATCAACAGGCAGCACGGGAGGCGAGCACGATTAGCGGCACCAAGTATGGTGAGGTGTACTATGTGGGTGTCCGTATGCCAAGCAACTTCTAGGAACGACAGAAACAAACTGACTGCAGTGTGTGAGCCTTTTTTTTTTTTTGAACAACGGCACAGTGGCACCACGCACTAGTTTCTACCATAGGATATTTTTAGGGCTCTTTTTTTTTGGGGGGGGTTTGTTGCATGTACGCTGTTATTTTTATGGAGTGGATGTATAGGTTACTCGTCGGCTATGCAATAGGGTGGGATAAACAAGGTCAGTGAATGATGTAATTCTGTACATAATTGTTCAACACAAGCCCATTCGGCCCGTCTTGTTTTTTTTTTATTTCTTATTATTATCCTTTTTTTTTGCGCTTCTGATCATGTGTCATGTATATACGGCTGCATGTGCTGTGTTTAGGCGGTATATATATATATATATATATATATATGTTTATGTATTTGTTGCAGGACGCATCTGCGAACGCTCAGCGGACTTTTTTTTTCTTGTTTTTGTGGCGAAGGGCAGAACACACGTCGCGAGTAATAACGAGGGAAAATAAGTAACTTAATTAATTGAAAGTGGGATAGACGAGAATAAAAAAAAAGGTTCAAAGACATCCGTGACGCACGCACAATTTGTCAGGCGCAGGAAAAATCCAACACGAGAAGGAAAATAAAAACAACAACAAATACAAGGAAGAAATACACAAACGAAGCTGTGTGAGTGGAACCGATAGGAAAGCAGCAAAATATGCCTGGTATGCGGCTGGACTTTTTGAAAAACTCCTCCCAGAGAGCTGCGACTGGAAAGTCGATGCCGCTGAAACAGGTGGAGGCGGTCCTCTTATACGGTAAACCGGAGCAGCGTGCCAAGGTGGTGCAAAAGATCCTGCCCAACACCTACTCGCTTTGTTTGAGCAAGGCGTCCCACCACCTGCTGCTTACTCTTCTTACGAAGTCTGACGGACTGATACGGGTGCAGATGCTCTATCATGTACGTCGGAAGATTATAGATCTCTCCTTGTCCCCCGTTGGCAACCTCATTGTCCAGGAGATGCTGGTGCGGCTTCCTGTTCAGCAAAAACGGGAGATTGCGGAAATGTTTGTGCTTAACGCCGAAGGTGACGAGTTCAGGCGTCTCTGTGAACATCCCTTTGGGAATCATGTGGCGCAGAAAATCATGGAGCACACCGCTTCTCGAGAGGTGGTAGAGGAGCGTTTTTTGCCGTATATTCCGTCGCTGGCCGTACATCCCTATGGGCAACGTGTGGTTGTGAAGTTCATGGAATCCACTGAAGAGGGATGGCGGTCCGTTTCGAAGGCCCTTTTTGCCACTGATGAGGAGCTTGACGTGAAGGAGGAGATGATCAGCACGCTTTTCTGCCCCGCCGAAGACAACATGACGGTGTCTGCGCTTCTAAAGCATCCGTTAGTTCCTACGACAGTCAAGGATGCGATTTGCGCCCACCTTTGCGAGTTTGCGGCTGAGTACTTGCAGCCGAGAGAGGAGTCATCGGCTGCTACCGCCACGCCCCAAGCGGGGGAAGACGAGTTTGCCCTGCCCGACTTTGGGAACGCGGCACCAAGAAACAACGTTCACGCCGTCAAGCGTGAGTGTCCACACCACTATCACGCTTACGTGACTGTCTTTGAGCATGGTGATCTTGCGCAAAAGAGGGAGTTATGGGAAAGTTTACTAGCCGCCCCTGGTCTCATTGAACGCATTGTGTCACACAAGACAGCCGTTGCTATAGCAGTTGCAGCACTCAAGACACTCCCAGAAAGCCAGGAGCGCCTTTGGACTGCGGCAACGGCGACAGAAACAGTGGCTTCAAATGGGTCGGGGCTTGACATACTCGACGTGGCACGGGACCCGGCGCGCACCATGCTGCTTCGTGCGATGATAGAGGTTCATGGGTCCTCACTCACAGCAGACCATAAGAAACGCCTGGCAGAGGCTGCTCTTGAGCTTTCACAGAACCCTGTCTCCTCACCCGTGCTACAAAAGTTGCTGGAGTGCTTCCCTGAGGATGTGACCATCATGCGGTTGATGCTGGAAAACATTAGAGGGGAATTGAGACAGTTGGTGACGCACAACGCTGCTTCCTATCTTATTCAGGCAATGCTGCAGTACGGTGCTTCCGGCGCGGTGCGTGAGGAGCTTGTGAACGCGCTTCTTGAAGTTTTTTCGGACATACGTGGGATGCTCTCTTTCGCACAGGGGACGCGTGTAATGCAGAAACTTGTTGCTTACGCCTCGGACGAGGTTGTTGTGACTGTTGTCAATGCCTTGTTGCGCGAAGCAGAGGAGGAAAGAAACAGGGAAAACGCAATCGATGAAGCGGAGAATGTGGAAGAGGAACAGGAAGGCAAAGAGACCGATGAAGATGCTGATGGGGACGGGGATGAGAACGCCGCCGCCGCCACGGCGAGGCCCTCTCGTCGAGAACAACGCGAAATAAATCGCAAAAAACATTACGAGGTTACCTCTAGGGCTATAGTCTCGTACGCTCTCCACAACCACGCGTGCTTTGTCATTCAGGCACTCCTTCGCGAGTGTCGTGGCCGTCAGTTGGAGACTCAGCGCAAGCAGCTGATGAATGAACTGAAACCATTCGTCTTTGAGCTGGCCATCTCGCCGTGGGCCGGTCGCATCGTGCTTGAAACAATGCTCCAAAGCGGAAGTGCAAAGTTGGGCGAAGTCATGAAGAATGTCGCCTTTTTGAAGGCCGAGGCGTGGCTCTCCGACGTTCCTGAGAGGAGTAAATGCACCGGCAGTGGACTGGATCCCACCATGCGACAGGCGCTACGACGACACCGCGAGGAAGCCGAGGGTGAGAAACAAGAAGCGGGTGCCGAGGCCGGCACCAAGGCGCCATCGCGTAAGAAGTTGTACCGCACCCTGAAGAAGTGAGAGCCATGCGAGTGTTGCCTGCAATGGTGCGTTTGTGTGAGCCGCCACGTCACGCTTCCCGTCTTTTTTTTTGTTTCGTAAGTTTTGGCTTGTAAGATCACGGGTAAGGCGGCAGTATTGGGTCACATGACGTGCCGCCGCTGGGTTTGAAAATATTTTGGCCGGGGCCACCCAGGGTTCCTGCCCCTGCGCGCTCACAGCATCAACCACACTGGAATAAGAGAGGTTGCAAGGGGCGCGCAATGAGGCCATGCCTCTCTCGTGGCTCTGGAGACATAATTGCAATGCCTTATTTATGTTTGCTTGCTTTTTTTTTTTTACGTTCTGGCTCCCACACCGCCTCTCGCCTTGCTACCTGTGTGTGTGCACCACCCAATAGCAGCGGATTTTGCAAGTGAACACACGCACCACAAAGTAGGACGAAAACAACAACAAAAGGAACTAAAAGGCCTACCACGAAATAATTGAAACTATGTCCTACCCGAATCGTTATGGCCGTGGCATGGCCGCATCCTACGGCACCGTGCAGCTTCCCGTTGGTTGGCAGATGGCGTACTCTGCAGAGGGAGACCCATACTACATTGATCACAACACCCGCACGACGCACTGGCAGATCCCTGCGGAGGTGCTGCAGCGAATGAACCAAGGACAAATGTATCGTGGACGCGTTCGACGTGGCATTGACCGTACCAAACTAAAGACAAAGATGTGCATGAATATCCAACGTGGTGGTGTTTGCAACTGGGGTGATAACTGCGCCTTTGCCCATAGCTCTGAGGAGCTCACCGCAGTTCCACACGTTGGAAACCACCGCGGGGGGGATGGAACTTCTTACCGTATGCGAGCGGCCGCCAGCAACAGCAATAACTTAAGCGATAATAACAGCCCGAATAACGGCAACAACACCCCTAATTGCGCGGAGTTGCAGCCGCAGGAAAAACAGCCACAGCAGCAAGCCGTTCCACCACAGCCGCAGGCGACGCCTGTTCAGCAGCAGTGATAGTCGAATAAATAAATTAAGAGAAACGAAAATGGATTAAATAATGAGGGAAAGTATGCGGATGCATTGGAGAGAACGGCGCCTCAATGCAGTAGGAATCACGGATGCGCACTTTAGTGTGTTTGTATGGGTGTGTTTTTCGCTTTCTCTCTTATCTTTAAATTATTTGCTGGGCACCCCCTCCTTTGTCTTTGTTTGTTTGTTTTATGTTTCTTCTGGGGTTTGCTAACGCTGCCTATATCCCCGGTTTATGGAATTTACTGCAGTCATAAGGAGTATTGCGTACAAAATAAAATAAAAATAAAAAAAAGAAAATGAGTATTGCACAGGAGAATAAAATGAAGGGACGGAAACATGCAGAGAATGAAGAGTAGAGAAAGAAGCCGTGATATAATTTTGTGTGGGTTTGGGCTTGCTTGTTGTTTTCTGCCTTTCTCGTTATTTGGGAATTGCTCCACCTCACCAGTGAATGGGGAAGGTCTGGTGCTGTGTGTTGGTGTTTTTGAGTGAATGCCTGCGATCCCTTCATTTTTTGTTTGTTTGTTTGTTTGTTTGCTTGTTGTTGTTGTTTTTTTTTCTTTGTCACTCTTTTTCTCTGCTTCTGCCGCTATGTTTTGGATATATTTTTTTTTTGTTTTTGTGTGGTGCTTGGGTGAATTCAAACAAGTTGAACACAAAAATGCGTTTTTTTTTGTTTTGTATGTGAGTCTTTCATGGGTGTTCAGTTTGTGCGTTGCACGCCCACTGCTTCCCCTCCCCCTCCCCCTCCCTCTGTGTACGCTCCTCCCGGACCGCATCCCTCCCTCCAACGCCCTCGCTCATACGCTTCGTTTAACTGGCACGACTAAACAGGTAGTTTGTCTGCTTGGGAGACATGAAGTTAAGGATAAAGGTGGTAAACAAAAAGAGTCGAAGAGAGGGACGACATTGTGACGATGCAGAATAACTTTTTTGTACTGTTTTTTTCTTTTTTTCAGTATGACAAGTGGGGTGGTGTTAAATTTGTCATGGGGGGAGAGGAGAGGCGCTGCATGAAGCGAGACCTTCTCGCCTTTTGCACCGTACAAAAATACATTTTTCCTTCCGTGTGCGTGTACGTGTGCATTTCATGGCGCTGTTGGCTACCCGATGCCGTCCGTGTAACAGTGTCAGTGCAGCCATACAGCGAGAAAGAGGGAGAAGTTGGGAGAGGGGCAAAGTTACGGGCGTGCAACGCGCATGTGCAGCAGCAACTGAAGCATTTCGTGCAAACAAAACATCGCTTGTCGACAGAAACGAGGGGTTTGGAGTCTCAGACAAAAAAAAAAAAAAACGGGGAGAAGAGCATGAAAAACAACAGCGATGAAACAAAGGGGACGTAGTCTGATGTCTCAAGGCAGACTAAAAAAAAAAAACATAACACGGAGTAGAAGCGAGTGGCCCTGGTGGGAGGAACGGCATTGCCATTTCCACGACATCCACCGCAGTCGTCTGTGATGTGTAGCTGAGGAGGCTGGTAGCAATATAGCGTGCATATATACATGTGTGTATTGTGAGTCGCAGCTTGTGGTTAAATGGTGCGTTCAGCCTGCACGGGTGGAAGGGGTGGAGGAGTCATGCACGCAGGAGAGCCCCGGCAGCTTTGCGTGAGGGGAAAGGAAGGACATGAGAAAGCAGCAACAATACCCAACAAGGCAACTATATATATATATATGAAATACTAATCAACGGAAGAAACGAAGCAGAAATATTTAACAGTTTTGAGGGGAAACAAACAAATGGATAAGAAGAACGACGCATTTATTTTCCGATTGGCGTGAGCTATGGTGGGACGAAAAAAATGATAGAAATGCGAGGATGAATATGTTAACTTCTTTATGCATAAATAATAAATAACCCACCACCGGAAAAGAGAGAAAGATGAATAAATACGTAAAATAGATATACAAACAAAAGGATGCCTGACGAGGGCGGCGATAATGTGGTATGGTTTAAGCAGCAAGGAGAAGTTAAATGAATGCTTGTTAAAGTACACTCTCAGACAACAAGAGAGAAATCAACTGCAGGTAACTGAAGGTGGTGTGTGTAACTATTTGCAGTGTTTATGGCATTTACGTGAAAACAGTTAATCACACCTATAACTACATCTCCCCTTGCTGTTTGTTGCTCCTTGTTTACTTGAGCTAAGCATGACCATCATCTGTGAGTGTGCTGCTATGAGCAGCTTGCAATAATTTTGGCAGTATGTCAATCTCTTCTGTGTGGGGGTGTAAGTTTTTTGCTACTGGTCTCCTAGCGGCAGTTCTGAGTGAGTAGCTTTGAGCGACGTTCTCATCGCGTTTGTGCTCCAATATGAGGGGTAGACGCATACAAACAACGTGGTTCTTCCAAAAAAAACTGACACGCACACCCATTCAGCGGAAACACAGCGACTAAGGAAAAGGCCTTCCCTCACTCCTCCCTTATCTTTTTGTTGAAGACAATTAAGGGGAGGGAAGGATAGAACAGTTTTATGGAGGCAAGAAAAGGAAGAAGAAGAAAGTGAAGGGCTTAGGAAGCCAAGGAGAGAGAAAATAATAATAAAAAAAAACGAAAAAGAGGGAAAGGAATACAAGAACTATCTCTTGAGATGAATGGGAATACTTGAGAAGGCAGGCAGATTTACGAGTAGCAGATAGAGAAAGGAGGAGGGGGTCGGTGGTGTCTTGTGGTGAATAAGCGGGAGCTTGTGTGGTAGACAAGCTTGGTAGAGGTGGGTTGAAAGAAGAGTGACCAAACACGACTTTATAAACGAGACGAGTTCTGTTTCTCTGAATTTGCACACCGCATTTCCGTCATCTTGTTTTTTGTTTTTTTTTGTTTTGTTTTTTTCTCGTGCTCCTATTTGGATCTTGCCTTCCCTGATCCCCGTACACGACTTTTTTTTTTTTTTGGCTCGAAATGGGATGCACGTATCCGCGCCACTTTTTGTGTCTGTATGTGACTTTTTTTTTCGCCGTGAGCGTGTATATGTGCTTGTGGTGTGTGCATGGCTCACTCTGATGGGGCCTGCTTCAGAAGCTCAAATCAACTGCCACTAAGCTTATACTACTTCCCTTGTCCCCCTCTTTTTTTTTTCTTTTTTGTCTCGTTTGTGTGGGTCTCTGCTTGCCTCCTGCTGTGATGCTCCTATGACACCGTAATCCTTTGCTAGGGCCGTGTGCAAGACAGTAGCGGCCCGCGCATAGGTGCGCTCACTTGCGTATCCACACGCACGTATTCTGACGTGACCGTTGTGGGTCGCATTTCACTTCCAGCAGTCGTACGTCGATGGTGTGCCGTTCATACCTGTTACGGCTGGGGTGCACAGTGACTGGTTTGCGACAGGCGTTAGCTCCACCGAGAGCGTTTCGCAGCGATGATCCACTAACACGGTGGTCCAGAAGGCTTGTGAATGGTTGGCCAAAGCGGTGTCTTCATCCCCATCTATGCGTTGGACTGGAAGGGTGTACGAGCGCATTCAATGCGCTGAATTCTATTCGCACGTGCATGCACTTTGCGACAACATTTCCTCCTTCTTTTCTTTCACTAGAGCGTGCGGAAGACATTCACTCCCTCCACCCTCGCTCCACCGCGCAGAACGTGGATCCGGCTAATGAGACGAGACCGGGTGTCATGTTGAGTCAAGTGGCCCGCTTTGGCGAAGATTTATTTTTAAATGATCCATCACATAGACAGCTTCCACTAGTTGCGCTGGAGAATTACACGACTCGGTCGGAGAGCATTCTTTCCTGCCGCTTTCCTCCCGCGGCACGCCTTGTCGTTGGCCATGAAAACAATGGCGTAAGCACGAAATACATCGATGAGTTGGACGGGAATGACAGGAAAGGCTGTCGTGCTGAACGGGTCGTGTACATCCCACAGTATGGAACAATTAGTTCACTTAACGTGGTGACTTCCATGGGTATCGCTCTCTTCTACGCCACGCTGGACACCCGCTACCCATCGGCAAGAACGTTGGTGCGTGGTGCAGAAGGTGGTGATACCACCGGCGCGAGTAGTGAATTGGAGGCATTGCAAGCGTATCAGCGCTTCTTTCGTCGAAGGCTCCCCAACACTGCGGCTGAGTGCAGCTTTTCACGTGTGGACCAGCGGCCTATCCATCCATTGTACTACAAAGAAAATGTGTTTAGTATTATTGAAATGCATCGTCAGCTTCGACAGCTATTGCTACAGGCTTGCTCGTACAGAGGCGTATCTGCAACACCTGGACACTTTGGGTTATCTGTGCTCTATGAGAATGAGCGAGATCAGCGTAGCCTTGGTGGCATTGTTCGTAATGCCAACGCCTTTCTCGTAGATCAGGTGTTGTATTTTGGAAGGAAAAAGATCAATGTCGTGGGAACGGTGGGAACGCAACACTACACCCCTACTGTATACTTGGGTAGTTCCATCAGCGACGTAGACGACGGCGGTGGCGATGCAGAGAATTGGGCGTTAAAGTTGTTTCAACGCGTTGAGGCGGCAAACGGTGCGACTGCCGCTTGGTGGTTTTTTGACTGCGGTCATGCGTTTCTCTACAGAGAGGGTGCCTCTGGTGAGGAAACGGTGGAGGAAAAGGAAAGAATGAAGTTGAGAGCCACCACGGAGGCATGGAGCTGGTACAATGCACACCGTGGCGACCCAGACTTCAATATTAGCCTATGTGACACTGAAGAGCGACTTCGTGAGGCGGCACAAGGAGGGGTAGTTCTCCTTGTGCCACAGGAAGGGTATTTACCCCCGTTTCATTTACTGCGGCGCTGCCAAAGAATTTTGACTGTGTTGCCAAATGGAGATATGGAAGGCACCGCTGGGCTACCTGTTTCTGTGGCTGGGGGAATTGCTTTGCAGCGCCTCAGCGCGGTAATGCATCCGCAGGTATTGATTCTTTAATCTCCTTTGCTGCTACTTGTCTTTTTGCGTCTCTCAGGCGACGCTCCTGCTTTTACACTTACGTATGCTTAAAGGAGATGCTGTAAATATAAATATTCACTTGCGAATATTACGCACATTACACATGCCTTTTGTGTACTGTCATCCTAGCTGGAGGCGGTGAGGGGGGAAAATGCGAAGAGGGGAAAATGACAACTTGACTCAAAGTTGTGGCTGGAACAGCCAAAGCGTGTCCCATCCAGACAACGTTACGTGGGACTGCGTGCCAACAGCATTTGGTTTTGTAGACCAGTGGCATAGCCCCTCGCCCGAGGGGGTGGCAGTTCATTCAACTTTATTTTCATTTCGTAAATAGCACGAATTTTGTCCTTCATTACTGTTTTCTCTCTTTTGTCCATGATTATTTACAGTTGTCAACAATAATTGTGGTAGCAGCGCTCAAAAATTAAAATTAAAATGACGTTTTGAAAGCAAAGCACAAAATTGTTTTAAGGGGCTTCGGTGGGCGGGCAGAGGAAAACCTGGCCAACCGATAAAACCGGTTTCCACACCTTTGCCCCACGCTGCCCAAGCTGCCCAAGCTGCCCAAGCTGAAGAGACAATACAAAAAGTAAAAGAAAAAAACGTTACTTCAGTCCTTCACGCCACGCAGCATCCGACGCAAAGCACGCCAAGTTGTCCATTAATTCGTCTTAATCCCAAATCTAAATCTACCCACACCAGCCCC